TGGGAGAAAAGTATGCCCCAGATCAACGATTTAGGAATTATCATATATAAAGCTTTTGTGGCCATCTTAACCAATCAATCATCCAAAACAGTTCATCCACTACCGTCTACGGTTAACTTTGCCTGCTGGTGTTGCAGACTTAGTTTTGATTTGTTTTAATCTTCAAACTGACAATTAAGTCAAGATCTAATTAGCATTTATAATATATTTAAACCATGTTTAACTCCCTGCTTAGCTTTTAATGCGCCTGTTTATTTTATTTTTTTCCTCAGTTTTTTATAATGTAACTTTATAACTTTTACTTGTTTACATTAGATGCGATTCCTACTATTTTCACTGCCAGGTGTGTCTGATTATATTGAATATACAGATAAGCATCCTCTTCGATTGTCAGATTTAGATTTTAATTTTGGATTTTTATGCTCTGAATGTTTTAATATTTGTAAAACGTTTTGTTCAAGGTTTTATTTTGAGCGTACACGAGAAAAGCGATTAGAGGATTTTGCGTCAATCTTACATGCAGTAGCTATAAGATGACGTTGGAATTTTTTTTTTCTCTCGAGTCTACAGACAGTCTATCAAAGCAGATCCACAACTTGTATGAATGTAATTACTTTTATTTATTTTTTTACATACTGTTTAAAACATTAAAATAACATACCAGAAATATGTATCTATTAAGCAGTTTACCTATTTAAACATGATTTAATAGTACATATACTTGCGGTTACTAATATTTGTTAACTTGGTCTTTAAATCATTCAGGGCCTCTTATTTACAATCTAGAACAACTCACTTAGTTTCCCTGTCAAAGAAGAAGCATGACTTGTTTTGGTCCAAGATCGATATGACAGAAACCCGGAGGCAGATGATACTGAAATAGATCATGTACTATAATACATCATGTTGTTAATAACTGAACACGATAAGAATAGAATTATCCCACAATATTTCTGAACTATAATTATTTGAATAAAATAGTACTTGTGTGTGTACGTTAATGAAACTAATCGATATAAGTCTTAGACAACTTCTAAATTTATTTGTCAAATAAACCGGCCCCTAAAAATCTGATGTCAATACCAATTCCTAAAAGGATTGAAATCATTAACAGACGACAAACTCTGAAAGCTAATTTAAAACATTCCATCTGTACAGTGTAGATATAAAATCATGCCTGATAACCATGGGTATGTAGTTTTGCTCATTGTTGAAGGTCATAAGGTGACCTATAAATGCTTACATCTACGTAATTGGTATCTAGTCGATAGCTGTATCGTGGTCGATCATTCTATCTGCATCTTCTTATTGTTATTTGGTACTTTCATGAATGTTTTATGGAGCAAAATGATTAACTGCAAAAATCGTTTTTGGTGTGTTTATTGTAAACGTTTTCAATAATACAAATATTACGTCTATTGTCTAATTGAGACCTAAGTGCAAACACCGGCATATCGAACCAACTAAGAAATGTACACTCCACAAGAAGAGACAAACGGACTAAGGAGAAACCAAGGTGCAATAAAAATTAATCAAATCGAATCTTCGCCATGAAGAAACGGAAAATTAACAAAAGGAAGAAAAAGGCGATTGCTGTACAATTTGCCACAAAATGACTGGTAAATACTCTAGATTCAAAAGATTTGATATACAATATTTTTAAAGTGTAGAAAATATAGAAAATATTTGTACGAGGCTTTGTTCATATAGTGTATATATTAGAGAATAAAATATCAACAAGATTTAAAATCATTATCTAATACTTATATTCATATAAGTTTGACGACGTCCAAACAGAGTCCAAATGAAGTGGACTAAAGCAACTGTAGGTCCCCTAATCTGGAACAGTTGTGTAACAGAACAGCATATGAACAAACTGTAAAAATCTGGGAATGGCTTGACTCATCAGATTGGCACGAAATACAAAAACAAAAAACAACTGAAATAAAGACAAAAGACACAAAGTGCCGATCTAAAAGTTCTCGCACTTACTGAATATAAATAAGAAGATGTTGTATGAGTGCCAATAAGACAACTATCCATCCAAGTCACAATGTGTAAAAAGTAAACAGTTATAGGTCAAAGTACGGCCTTCAACACGGAGCTTTGGCTCACACCGAACAGCAAATTATATTATGGCCCCCAAAAGACTATTTTGAAACAATTCAAACAGGAAAACCAACGGTCTAATCTATATAAGAAACGAGAAACACTTATGAACCACACCAACAAACGACAACCACAGAACAACAGGCTCCTGAAAGCTAGTTCAAAGCTTGTTTTGTCAAAGTCTTTATACTTACTTAAAGATTCGTTGTCTGATATTTTCTTGTGATGAACCCATTTCTTTCCATACGCTGGAGCAGACTTAAATCCTACAAAAAATGATGTAGCAATAACTAATGTAACTTAAATACATATTATAACGTCAAGCAATCTCACATATCTTATGGAATGAAACAAGATCTGTCAAATAACCTTACTTGAAAACTTGGAGGTGTGTTTGGTTTCTGCAATGCAGTTATAACTTTCATATCTTTATAAAACCCATTGGTTGATCTATCATTTCTAAATGGGCGGAAGGGCTAAATAAAGTTTATGGGGGGGGGGGGGGCAGAATGTCTGTAGTGAAATAGGTATTTTCTTTTCCCACTAAGTAGTAAGATCAGATAAGTTGTATTCAACAAATTACTGGTTAGGGTCGTACCAGGAATATAGACTGAATAAGAGTAGACATGTGGACAAGCAGTTTGATGTTACCAAGGTCAATGGTATATAAAAACTCCGGCTCTTTTCTGTCTGAGGGCACTCTTTAAATCTAGAAATTGTCACGAACACAAGCAATTATTGGTATGTTACAGATTCAGTTTAGATTTTAAATGTATTCAAATAATACGACAGAAGAAGTCGTTTCTTTTAATAGAACAATTTTCGCCATTGTTACAATTTGAAAAATATATCATACATAAAATGTTGGCGATTAAAATTCATGAATAAAAGCATCAAATAGAATGATAGTTATATTCAATTTTAAAAGACAAATATCAGGGAAAAAAACCTGATATTAATGCTTTCGATCTGGAAAAATAGCGTTCTATACTTTTTTATATATCATTTGATTACTTTAGCCTCAATCGAAAACCACGTCACAAAACTTGACAAATATGAAGTAAATAGTATGGTATACTTTTTTAAAGATTCGAGCGAATGATGAAGCACAATACATAATATATAATAAATATTACCTGGTCCAATATTTCGACGAGTTTTCTTCTTCACTACGTGAACATTTCTGTAATGTGGCACTGGGTTATCCAAAATGCTCTACAACACAGTGCTATTCCAAGTTATGATTGCCTCAACAGTACATTTCAGTATATAGATGGTAGATTTGTACATTCAATTTTAAATACTGCAGACGAACACTAGATAAGAGCCAGTAAGCAGTAACAAATTTTGTGGACGTTTTCTGCATTTGACGTCTACAGTATGAGGTTTTTAAAATTAAGAAATTGTAAAAAATATCGCCAACGAGTTACGATATAAACCTTTTTTGATTGAGCACACTCCAAGACCCTAAAAGGTTATATTGTGTCGAGCGGCTGGTTTTTAAGAATTCTATTTAAGAAAAAATTATTTACTATTTATCGTATTAATTTGATTGTTTTGTTTTGGGATCAAAACATGGAATGACTACTGTGACATCTAAGAGTCAATATTAATGACTGTACGTAGGACATTTTCCCGTGCGTATATCCTAATCAGTCCTCTTTGGAAGCACCTTTCTGAAGAATCCTGCATGTAGAATGCTTAAAGTTTCAATTAAAAATATGTAATATAGGATTTTAACAAAAACGTCTTTAGTACAAAGGATGGAATTTTTAGCAAGTTTAAACCTCGGTCAGCAAACACGTTTTGCACAGTGCTTATTAATTTAATACATTTGTTAGATAACAGGCCTTACCATTTCCTTCCATTTATCCCCTATTGATGACATCCCTGTTTATACTTTTACATACTGAAAATTAATAAAAGTGCAGTTACTTTAAACATTAGATATAGAAATGTAATATAACAGTTATAAGGGTTACTAAAGTAATTCTCGACAAGAAGTTTAAAATTTTTAATAAATTATGTAGAAAATGTTTATCGAAGACAAAAAAAAAACATGTAAATGATTTTAACAATTACTTACTTAATTTAAAGTTTCCTGTTATCTTGATATGTTAAAAGTTTGTATTGTAACACAATCTGTTGTCAATAGAGTGTTCAACAGTGGAACAATTAGTTTGAAAGACTCGTATAAAAATGTCAAATATTGTATTTTTTTCTTTTGTAACAGTTAAATATAGAAATATAGTACACATTCCGAATATACAAAGTACTATAATGTTATAGAAGAACTCTGTAAGGAAGGGCTTTTTTGGTTTTTTGGTTTTATTTTTTTTTTTTTAAGGGGGGGGGTATTTTTAGCAGACCTATGTTCGAAAAATGTTATATATTCAATTAAGATATTCAAACAGAAGGACATGTGCCTTCAAACTTGAAATATTGTTGCTAATTTTAACTTTGTATATGATCACTTCATATTTCTAGGTCTGGATTGCCATTAAGTTTTAGTATCAGCTCGCTGTTTACCTCGTGTGATCTGCAAACTAATTGTCCTTTATGTGTTGTTTCGGTCATGTCTAGGATGGATTTTCAACATTCCTGTTTTTATTGAGACACATTCGTTTGTATACATCTTTATGTATCTAAATTGTGCATGCATGTATTTTTTTTTATTCTTAAATCTCCTATTCGAGATGATTAAACTTAAACGAAGAAACGGACCAGTAATAATAAAACAAAAACAAAAAGACATTTAGAAAATATCCATTTTGTTATAATCAAATTATAACAGATTAGGATTAGTCTAATTATATATGTTTTTTAAAATTGAACTAATCAAAGGAAACTCGTCGATCGGACCATTGATCTCAACTGCTCATGCTTATTTATGCTTATGCAAGTCACGTGTATATACTTATTTAGTTTTGCAAGAATGACACAAATCTTTCATGAAAAAGGTAAATATTCATACAAAACTACTCTTTGTGTATGTGTGGGTTTTTTGAGTGCGTAGCAGGGTTTTAATAGCATATTATATGGATTGATTTTTGCTCATTGTTGACGGCCAGTCGGTGAGCTATAGACGAGCTGCTAAATTTGCAATCTCAAAATAAAGCCGACAACCAGGGACATGCAAACCCTTGGATGGCAGACTCTAGGGTCAAGGTGGAAAACCATGTTCTAAAAAGCAACACATGATGAAACGGTAGTAAACATACCATCACATTTGAGAAGACCATCCACATCAACAAGACAATACCATCCAGAGAAATTTATCAAGATGAGTACCTTAACAGATGCCTACAAGAACAGTTATATACCACTGACCATCACCGATTGGAACAGTCTGCCTGACGCGATCTAAGCTACATCCCTGGAGAACTTCAAAGAGCACCTACGGAGACTATAGCAATCAATATAAACCACCAGATTTTATCCTATTTTACCTGCCGTAAATACCGAACACCCAGTTAACACGTTTACACAGCAGTGACTGCATTAAGGATTTCCACTGAAGATGTAGTTGCTTAATTCTCATCCTTAGGAAACCTTCACAGATGCCTACAAGAACAGTTATATACCACTAACCATCACCGATTGGAACAGTCTGCCTGGCGCGATCTAAGCTTCATCCCTGGAGAGCTTCAAAGAGCACCTACGGAGACTATATAGCAATCAATATAAACCACAGGATTTTATCCTACTTTACCTGCCGTAAATACCGAGCACCCAGTTAACACGTTTACACAGCAGTAACTGCATTAAGGATTTCCACTGAAGATGTATTTGCTTAATTCGCATCCTTAGGTATCTGGTGGATAGTTGTTTCATTTGTAATCGTATCACATATCCTTATCTTTACATGAAAATTATTTATAATGATTTATCATATACCTAACATTAATATGATAGTTTTTGAATATGTGTTACGAGCGGAAGTAAACTAGCCATTATATACTACTGAACATACATTCACACCCTATGTGACGTCATGTGGTCGGGCTGATATGGGGTTATCAGCCTGGGTGCATTCGAACATTTATGATAAAAAGATTAATACATGTCATTTTCCATATCGGCCCGGATATCATCCTTCGACCCATATCAGCCCTAGGTTAACGTCTCGGAATGATACCCGGGCCGATATGGAAAAGGCCATGTATTAAATTGTATGTATCTCAGTTGCACAAATTTATGACATGTTTCGTCGTCCTATAACATAACCTCATTACATTAATGTGGGACATAAAATAGTATAATAGTCCCCGCATTAACTAAGATAATAAGATTTCAATTTTTATTTGTACAATACTTTAATTACACAGTATGCTTCAAACCAAAAGAAAAGAAAAACAAAAATATTAGAAATAAACTTTAATAAATTATGATTGTTGTTGTCATTAATAATAATAATAATAATAATAATAATAAATGTTAGTACTAATAATTACTATTATTATTATTAATCGAAAGAAGAATGTAAAGCAAAAGAAAGTTTTTGGGAGAAAATATCGATAATTATTTACCAAATAAATGTGTATACTGCGTGATCACGATTTTAAAAGTTCCAAACTTATCATTTTTTTTATTTTATTGATTTTTTTCTATTTAAAAGGGTAGCAGTATGGCCGCAACAAACAAGACAAATAAAGGTCAAGTAAAAGAGGACGGAAAACTTAAAAAAGACAAGAAATATATTATTCAAGGTTTAAATGGTGGTCCACGGGAAGGTAAAGATTGTAGTTTCGGCATGGCAAGCAGGCATGGGGCGAATTACATTGCAATGTAATGCTTTTCATTATAATTACTTGGACAAAACGAGCATTATATTACAATTACAATTACAAGTATTTTGGAAAGTAATGCATTAAATTACAATTACTTTACCAAAGTAATGCATTATATTACACATTACATTTTATAAATTGTATTATCAAAAGAAACATATATACAGCATTTCATGCTGCAATCTTTGTAACTATTAAAAATGTATTATAAAAATCCTTTCGTTGCCCTATTAGACCAAATGACAGCAGTCAAACAATTGTGATCACCTTCCTGAAGGTTATCATACAATTTTTGACATACAACCTTGGCCTTAGTCTGTATTAATTTAGATGAGAGATGTTTCCGGCTTAGAATTTGAAATTTAGGGTTAGGATTTTCTATAAAGTTCTTAAACTTTTGACTTTCAACTGTTGATAATGGGAGTAAATCACTTCTAGCAATGTACCCGAAAAGTGAATATATAGCTTTGTTTTGCTTTGGGCCATTTAATTGATATTTCTGAATACCAGATGGATTTACAAAGTTTGCGAAGGTTGGCTGTTCTTCTGGGTCAGGTTTTTTATATTTCGAAGTATACATCTCTGTGTTTTCTCTAAAAAAGAAATAACAGAAATGTTGTAAGGAATGTATTCTACCATTATGTTTTTTGATTATATTGTTAACTTAATATCAATGTTAATTAATTACTTAAATATCACAGATGTTTATACTTGAGGACAACAGAAGAAGTTTCCAACTTTTCAAATAGAAAAGAATACAGAAAAATTGACCATTTAAATACAGGTCGCAAAACTTAAATCTTAATATATTAAAGTAATTTTCAAAAGACACTTCGCTTTAATTTGGTTAAAAGCAGAAATAATTAAAAAAATAACTCCTATCTGATCATGTTTTCTGATTGGATTATTTTTACGTTTGTTGTAATGATGTCGCTACATACTTTTGTCCTTCGTGTTGCTAATGTCAGTACAAATTAGCGATACATTTCTTTTGGTGATCTTACATTCGATGAAAAGATCTAATGGACGTTGTGGTAACGGCAATTGGAACATATTCGTCGTCATCTGTGAAACAGATATTCAATAACGATCAACCAACTCGTGATGGCGTCCGTAAATTTATTGGTGGTATGATTTCAACTTCACCACTTGGAACCATTGGTTTAATAGCTTCCCTGTTAGCAGCAATCCTCTATCAAGGAAATCATGATAGGAAACGAAAGCTCTGGAATATCGTATTATCTCTAGCAGGAATGTTGCTTCAAATAGAAATGGCCTGGAAATTTCATAATTGGTAAGCTGAAATCATCTCAGTTGTCGTAGTGTTTTGTTCTCATCCGATCCTTATTGTCAACTTCTAGATTTGAGTCAAGTAAAATTGTTAAAATAAACATTACAGATGAAGCACCACAGAAGATAACGAAAGGCAAATCGGGCAAAACTGAAAGTATAGAACTTAAGCTAGGAACTACCGAATTGCCTCTGGAAGACGCCCAGCTTGTTTTGGACCAGTACAAAAAGTTAAAAACAGACGATAGGTTTGTAAACACATCAGGTTTTCTTACCGAGCTTTTCCGGAAGTTGCAACCATTAGAGAAGGGTCAGTCTACTAGATTAGAAGTGGACATGACAGTGAGGCAGTTCCAGGATTACAGTGAAGGATTTAAATACAAGATGGATGCTAAACCAAGAGGTGTTTATTTTTCTTTATTAAATATTGATTAAATGGTCTTGCAGTCAATAATACAGAGTTTTCAATGCACCCTTTTTGTTCACTTGTGGCAATATGTATTAGTATTAGATAAAAACAAATCTAAAATAATCAAATCAATTTACTTTAATATGATTACATATACTGACATTTTATATGTATGCCTAAATTTGTTTTGCCTGTTTGGACAGGTTATGCATTAATTATTAGTAATGGAACATTTTACCAGATTCCCGGAGACCCTTTAAGTAGAGAACTACCGAAAAGACCAGGAGCAGACACTGATGCAGGTAAAGTTTTATTTAGTTAAAAGTCTGAATATAGGTGTTGGATTTTTCTGCAAATAGTCACTCCAATATACCGTTTCACATTCAATACAGCAGTGATGATCTTTTTACTATGCTAAATCTTTTCAAAAGGGATTAGATTATCACAAGGTGGCAAGCAAAAAACGACAAGTCGAAGATTCTATAAGATATTTGTTATGTAACGAAAGTCTTTACCTGGAATTCTAGAAATCTTTACCTCGCAAAAAGTAAAAAAATAACAAAAAAAATTGACAATTTATAACTGTTTACTCTTTTAAAGAAAGGATTTTCATCAGTAAAGTTGTTAGATATAAAGTGATGCATCGGGTACAATTTTCGGTCCATGTTCTTTTTCCATTTGTTTCGATATGTTTTCTATAAGTTAAAGAGAAAGCCGAAGGATACCAACTCATAACTCGAAAATAAACTGACAACGCCATGGCTAAAAAAGAAAACAGACAAGCAACAGTACACAAAACACAACATAGAAAACCAAAGCCAGAGCAACACGAACCCCACCAAAAACTGTTATAATCTACGTCATTTGGACTCCGTTGGATAATTGTCTCGTTGGCAATCATACCACATCTACATGTACTTATTTTATATATTTTTTTGTCGTCTGCATATTCAGGCATGTTCTACTACTTTGAGTAACTTATAACGAATGCAAATTACGTCTGGTAAATCCATATTGATCTCAAAATAGTTCCTCTTTTATGTTGTATAATTTTGTTGTATAATTTGTAATATATATTTATGAAGTATTTTTGTTTCTATGGTATTAAGCAGTAGTATAAAGAAATAAAACCCATGTCTTCCTTAAAGATATATTACTTTCTGTGAACTTACTACCAAATTTCTTTGAAATCAAGGTTGACGATAAATACAGAATTATAAAAACCTTTCCGTATACCTGTTAGATTTCTGTATGTAAAGTGCAGCTTTAAAGCACATGCACTTGTCTCTGTAAAACTTAACTAAAGGTATAAGGTATATGTTTGTACAGAGACAAGTTCTTGTGCCTTACAGTTAGGAACAATAATAAAATATGTTTTCATCGCATTTTTAATATGATAACATATTTAAATTCTAACTTTTGACAGGACTATAGGGTCTGAAATTAAAAGTGAACATAATCATTATTAAAAAGGGAGACTATTCTTATGTTCAATTTGTATGGTCGAAAACAAACCACTGTTCCAGGTTAGGGGAAAAGGGGGGGGGGGGGGTGGGCGTCCGCAAACATGTTTAACCCGCGTTCCAGGTTAGGGGAGGGGGAGGGTTGGGCGCTCGTAAACATGTTTAACCCCGCCAAATTCTGTATGTGCCTGTCCCAAGTCAGGAGCCTGTAATTCAGTGGTTGTCGTATGTTGCTGTATATCATATTTGTTTTTCGTTCATTGTTTTGTACATAAATCAGGCCGTTAGTTTTGTCGTTTGAATTGTTTTACATTTGTCATTTCGAGTCCTTTTATAGCTGTCTATGTGGTATGGGTTTTGCTCATTGTTGAAGGCCGTACGGTTACCTATAGTTGTTAACTTCTATGTCATTTGGTTTTTGGTGGAGAGTTGTTTCATTGGAAATCATACCACATCTTCTTATTTTTATACAATCTGTCATTATAGTCAGTTCAAAGTTTTCTGTTAAATATGAATCTAAGTGGAAGAACTGGGAAGAAAATAAGCTACGATGATAACAAAAAAGTATAAACACTATCCCCAATTTTTTTTAAGGCTAAAAATTGTTGAATCTATAAATGGGAGTTACAAATGGAAAAGTAGTTCATATTATACATAAAATATGTCCACTTTATTTTTGTCTAACTTGGGTTGTATTGCTCTGGTGCCATTTATTTCGATATATAATTATACAAAAATAGTTTTGTATAAATATATATAAATTTAAACAGACCAGTAGTGACATTTTGTAGTCAAAATACTTCGCAGTTCCAAATTGAAATTTCTCACCTCCAAGTTGTAATTTCTCAGGACTTCGACATTTCTCAATTCCGAATTGACATTTCTCGGTACATGACATTCCTCATCAGTACTTGACATTTTCAGTGCCTAGTTAACATTTTTCAGTGCTCGACATTTCTCAGTTCCAAGTTGACATGCCATTGCCAGGCCCGCTAAGCTGACATTTCTGAGTAGATAACGTTTCAAAGTTCCATGTTGACATTTCTCAGTACATGATATTTCTTCGTTCCAAGTTGACATTTCTCAGTTCCAAGTTGACATTTCTCAGTTCCAAGTTGACATTTTTTAGTTCTAAGTTGACATTTTTTAGTTCTAAGTTAACATTTTTTAGTTTTAATTTGACATTTTTTAGTATCAAGTTGACATTTTTAAGTACATGATTTTTTTTTTTCCAAGTTTACACTTCTCAGTTCCAAGTTGACTAATGAAAAGTACTTCAGAAAGTCGTAAAGTGCATTTTAACAAGTATAATAGGTTTTATTTTCATGTCATTATAGATAAGGTAATGGGACTAAACTTACAAAATTGTAATCCCTAATTTTATACATTTACATAATCTTGTTCTAAAATTTGCTTTCTGACACCGTAAAATTTTAATTGTTGTTCATACTGTATTCTCAGAAAACTTGGAAACAGTTTTAACTGGACTAGGATTCCGTGTAGTAAGGAAAGATAACCTGAAAAAATGGGAAATGGAACATGAAATAAAGACCATCGCTCGTGCTGATCATAAAGCCTTTGACTGTTTTCTACTTATTTTGTCCAGCCATGGAAATTTAGGGAAATTATATGGTAGTGACGGGCAACAAGTTATGATGAGTCAGCAGTTAAAGTTGTTTAAAACAGAAGCGTGCAAAGACCTGAAAGGCAAACCAAAACTGTGTTTCTTTCAGGCCTGTCCTGTTGGCGAAGAAGATGGTAGGTTTTATATCAAGTCTATCCTGTAAATAGTTAAATATTATTGCATTTATACGGTAATATTATCAACATACTTTATTATTAAGCTATATCTCTTTCAAGTCTGTTCATAATTCCCGATCCACATGGAGAAATTTAACTTTAAGTGCTGTTGGCTAAACAGTTATGGTAATTATATATTTCAACAAATCGAAATTCCTTCTGCAAAAATAATTTGTACTTGAATAAAAAAATAACAGTGTCTACGAAAGGTAACATTTAATCAAAATATGCCCTCATAGTACTTGTAGTTGCAGACACAGCAGCTCTGGCAATGGAAGGAACAAATAAAGGGAAAAAGAATATTTCCGACGAGAAACCCAAGTTTTTGATTAACGACGTTGATTTTCTGGTGGGATACTCTTCTCTACCTGGATCTGTTAGTTACCGTTCCGAACAATCCTCATCATTTTACCTCAACTCACTCTACAAAAATCTCAAAGACAAAGGCGAGGCGTAAGTAGAAGTGTTGTCATCATGATAGCTGTAACTGTCAATTGTATTACAATTATTAGATAAATTTTCTGAAAAAGAAATATCAGATTTGATCTTTTACGTTGACTTTATAGGATAATTAAACGTATTGAAACACAACTATTTAACTGAGTACTAAGACACATATTATTTACCTCATTATACCTCATACCACATCCGCTTATTCATACACAAGAGAAATGTGACATTTGTTAGAAATCTAAGATAGCCAAACATATTCTTAACTAATTCTGTTTTCTGTAATATACCATTGTATAAGTGGTAATTCAAAATCTGACTGATTTATTTTAGGTATGATCTTGTTACTATTTTGGAAGATGTTAACCGTGAACTCACTGCTAAGAAAGCTAAGTACAGAGCTGGCGATGTTAATGCTGTATCAACTTTTGTGTCATGTCTACGAGGACCAATATTTTTCCAATAATATCTATGTACAAAAGATTGTCAAAATACAATTTAATTACACGTTTGCTTTAATGCCACACATGATTATGAATGATTGTATTTACTACCAAACATGATTAACGGTCCTCTGTTGCTTCAATTAATATAATAGTGGGGAACTAAATATATTACAAAGAAGACTAAACATACTAAAGAAAGGTAACGTCGCAAGTGACCTGTTTTAAGGTTGATTACTGACTTTACTCAATATTTTTTTACGATTGACCATAATATTAATTAGCAATCTCCTACAGGTTAATATTGTTTTGAGATTCTGTGAAATAATATATAGTTAAATAGATCATTATCATTCATGACCTATTTGTTGCTGTATGCTAATAAACTTACAAACAATAATTATTAAAATCAGACAGCATACTAGGAACATTTTGAATAAAATGGGTACGAAGCAAAAATTTCTAGGAAAACAAGAGGCGGAAGATATGATATATAAGGGACATTAAAAACTCATAAGTCGAAGAGAAACTGACAATGCCATGGCAAAACGACAGACGACGAAAAGGCAAACACGTCCACAAAACACTGCATAGAAAACTAAAAACTGAGCAACACGAACCCCAATAAAAACTGGTGATCTCAGGTGCTCCAGAACGGTAAGCAGATCTTGAGCCACTAATGGCACTAGAGGCAGGGTTTTTATGGTTGATTTTCTGATAGATTTACTGACAAATATGCTTGTAATTTGTATGTTTTTTACCAATCATCTTATCTTTGATACATTTCAAACAATTTAAAAGGGTTAGGCAAGGACTTTTTCTTAATAAATATCAGTCTTCAAGTTAATATTTCGAATTTGATTGATACATGTATATAAATATAGGGTCTAAAAATCAAGAATCAACATTCAATCTGTCTTGGCGTGGATCAGCTTGAAAATAATCTGATTCAGTTACTAAATTGAATTATATAAAAACTTGAGAATGTAACGTCAACAATGAGTGTAATAAAAAATAGTTGTTACAATTTACAGATTCACGCAATATTTAGCTATGTAAATTACCGACCGTGCGAGGGCTGTATAGCCAGTCAAGGTCGTTAAAAACTCCCATCATCATATGTAAATTGTATGATGTTCAAGATTAATTCCTTTGGTTTATGATGAAACGGTTTTCGTCTATTTTATCGAATCTATCAAGTTAAAAGAATTTAGCTGGTACATTCGAAATCATGCCCTACCCCTCTGTTTTCTACCTTGTGTGTCCAAATTATGGTTAGCCTCTATTATTTGAAAGGTGTTATTTTCAAAAGAATGTCCTGTTCGTAAGAGGTGTCTCGTGATTGGACAGTTTCTTCCTTTGGAATAAAATTACTGGACCGGTGATTATTTAGTCTGATTATTTATTAGTTTTATATGTTACTGTTATGGCACTGTAACATTACTACTGATTGATTAAAAAAAACAAATAGATAGACTAAAGCAAAAAATTATACTGATGGGGAAATAGTGTTTTACTTTATCGAAAGTGACCTCTTTTTCATACATTAAAAGTCGTCTTTAAAAAACGAACGGTCAATGTTACAGTCCGAGTTTTATTTAGCCTAAACCAAAGTTATTACTGTAAAGTTTTCCGGTCACCATCACAATTTGGCCTATTTGTATCCGATGAATGTGAAAATGTCCATATACTAGTATTGTGTATCTTTCATTACCGATTTCGACACTTATTGAATTATAGTTAGCTCATTACTGATATTAACCAATGATCAATATGCTATAATTGTCTTGGAGCGAAAAAAAAATATATGACCCTTCTGAAGCACTCTTTTTTTTATGAGAATTAGAAGTGTCCGAGGAATTTTATATTTTCTGTTCGTATACATATTTTTGTTTCCTATGTGCACATATCGTGTTAATTTTGATTCATTGCTTGAACTGTTTATTTGGACTGCTGATGCCTGATTTTCCTTTTTTGACTAAGTAGGTTCAGTATCTTCTTGCAGAGAGATCATTCGAGATTTAAAATCAATATCTCTAACAGCCAACCCTCTTAAGGAGCACCTGAATCCACCTCGGGTCTCTAGCGGGTTTTTGTTGCTCAATCTATAGTTTTCTGTGTATTTTTTTGTAGATTGAATTTTTCTATTCGTCTGTTTTCTTTTGACTTTAAAGATTTCAGTGAATCTTTCAATTATTTTAGTGATTTTCAAGTTTTAAAGACCTTTGACATACTATTCAATAATGTTACCTCAAATTAATATAATTTTGTAAACTTTTATTGTTTGTCCAAATGAGACAGATACATTAAAACCTTTTCTTTTATTTTCAAAATATATTTGTTGGTTATCCTATGTTTACTTGTTCTTGGAAAGAAGCAGTATATTAATCAATATTATTTTAATTCTTAGTGTTTTATTATAATGTTTTCAGATAATACCACTACTGGCATCATAAAAACTATAAATACGTTTTAGAACGATTAAAAATCTGTTGACAAATTTGATTCATTCTACTTAGTATCTTTAATAAAGCTTTTATGTAACACACTTCTGATAAACAAGCATCAACCGAATATAAAATTTCTGTACTCAATATTCTCGAATAGCTGACCTTTCTCCTTCTTACAAACAATATTTTGATGTTATCATTGTCATGTCACCTAGTCTTCCGCGACTAATATATTGATTAAAAAAAGATGGATGAACGACATGGTTTTGCTTTTAATTTGTTTTTGGCTTATAAATTATTTACAAATATAGAAATTACTTGTGGCGAAAGGAGTATCTGTTAAAAAATTAATAACTTCGAATCATTAAAACAAGATCGTATCAGATAAACTTAAGTAATAACAGAAATTTATTTTATCCCAAGTTATCGAAGCGTGTCACATTGAACAAAAAAAAGTATTTAAAAAGGTCTCTAGATGCCTTTTTATTTGATTATCGTGTTGGGTTATTATCTCATTGACGTTCCTCAAACCCCCTTTTTGTCTTACACGTACACGTAAAAAGCAAGTTGAAATCTTTAAATAATCAATCTAAACTAAGAAAAATTTGAATAAGTTTTATAACATGCGAGAGAAGAACAAGTTTGGAGTACTCTGATATCCCCCACTATAAAAATAATGTAAGAAATATATCATGTTTATAATTACATTTTTATTTAACTATGATAACTTTGCTATGTCCGTAATACGCTGACATTGCATTTCTACAAGTAGTACACATTTAATAATATGTTCAATTTTTGTATTGAAAAATCTAAATTTTAATGTCAAAGGGTATTTTTAAAACGCTTACAGTTGCACACTTGGGACCAATATAATCAACGTCCCGCCTTGAAGATTTCATACAATATTAAGTTTTACAAATAAAATCAGTCTGTGTAGTCCACGGGAATATTACTTATCAATTAACTCTTAAGTTAATTATGTATAAGCTAAATAGACAAAAGCAAATATTTCAAACTTAACATGACAACGATAAACTCGTTTGTTAATTATATTCTTTGGCGACTAATGCATTTTTCATTAAGCAAGTTAATGCACACAGACTTGGATTAAACTTTCGAAAAACAAGATGAAACCGTCGCAACAGAAAAATGATTCTACCAAAGCGGTAAGTCTTTCATATTTCTGACTTATTATACTATGGAGGTTTTATATGATAAATGAGACAGTTAGAACAAATAAAACAGAAATGAAATCTATAATTTAAATGATCAATTGTTTGAATGTTCCTGGCTGTACTAAATTAAAGAAGTTAACTAATAAGCAATGCTTTTCTATTTGTAAGTTATTCAAAATGTATTGTTTGTTTTTCCTCACATCGTCATGGCTCATATTTGGTACACTTAAAAATTTTCTGAATTTTTGTCAGACCTGAAACTGGCAGAAACAATCGATCATAAATACAAACGAAGCAGTTTGTGAATGACCGACAAAAATCTGCCTTCTTACAGTCATTTCATATAATGTCTAGATACAATGTTGTCTACTCTATGGTCGGGTTGTTGTCTCTTTGACACATTCCCCATTTCCATTCTCAATTTTACAATGGATAAAAGTTGGTTCGTTAAAAAGAAACTACGAACCCGGAGGGTGAGTGGTAGCTATAAAATATAGTACCGGGTATATCAAACCTGCATATAAGACTTTACAGAGACAACAGAGACAAGCATGATTACATTACAAAGTACCGATATACCAAGACAATGCAAGTGTATTATAGGGGAATTGTTATCAACTGCCATTTAAGTAGCAGTTCTGGTTAGAATAAGACTACGCAAATTTGTATCCTGATTATGCTTCGTTTCAGTGATAATGACAATTACGAATTTCTCTGAAGTAGAGATATGGCAAATTAATGATAATAGATTACGGTAATATAATGTAAAATATCAATGAGATTTTTTCATGGAATTACGCTTTAAATGAATATAAATTTTAAACTGAATACGACTTACTCTTTCTTAGGAGTAGCATTGGTTATGTGTAAAATTATCATTTACTTAAGCTGCTGATATATTTGCTTTGTAGAAATATAGCCTATGAATTTCAAACTAATGTTATGTCACTTAAGGCAGTATAAATACCCTTCAACGTCTAGTCTGTGTTTTTGTTAGATGCTTTTTCTGCTTAGTATCGATCTGATGAGTTAAGCCCTTTTCAACTGATTTATATAGTTTGTTCTTATGTTGTGTTGTAACACCACTGTCCCAGGTTGGTTGGGGGGGGGGGGGGGGGGGGGAGGGGTTGTGCGCTCACAAACATTTCTAACACCGCCACATTCTTTGTGTGCCTGTCCCAAGCCAGGAGCCTGTAGTTAAGTGGTTGTCGTTGGTTCACGTCCGGCATATTTGTTTTTTTCGTAAATTGTTTTGTTATAAATTAGGCCGTTAGCTTTCTCAATTGAATTGTTTCATATTTTTCATGTTGGGGCCTTTTACAGCCGACTATATGGCATGGGTTTTTCTCATTGTTGAAGGTTGTACGGTTGCCTATAATTGCTTACATACACTTCATTTGAACTTTGGTGAATAGTAGTCTCATTGGCAATCATACCACATCTCCTTATTTTTATATGAAGCTGGAAATTGTTTTATAATAAGGAAACATATACATTTTATCATTTACTTTTCATCTTAGCAATTTACTTTTCTTTTTAGTTCCGCATTTCAGCACGTTAAACTGAGATGACTTCTTGTCGTCAGCTATGGGATGTCAAAATTAATTATGATAAAGCATAATAAACATATACTTGATTGGTTTTTTTTTATAAATGATAATTCAGTAGTTACATATGTAGGATACCAATGTAAAGTCGGACCAGAGACGGAAAAAAATAACCAACCCATCTGCCAACCAGATAGGTATGTATTCTATTTTACAAATTCTCTTTATCATATGCAAGATTTTTTTGCTTCTTTGCTCTCTTCATCCATTTCTGGAATCCAAAAGACAATCCAGTTGTTTTCTCGTGATTTTCTTTCATTTATTTCTTCGAAAACGTCGTATACTGTCCCCTTTTTACTTTTCGAGCCGGTTTTGTTTATTTAATTTGAAAATTTGAAACGAACACTAGTTCATAGTATTGTCCATTTAAAGTTTGGAAGTTAACTAAAGCTTGATCTGGGACAATCGACATCAAATTTAATTTTCAAGTTAAGGTATCAGTGATTTTCATATTTGTATATGTGTTTTTTGTTTGTTTTTTGTTTTACTTTTAAAATCGAGTGTACCAAAAATACAGATACCCGTATCATATGCAGGAATTGCGTATTCGATTGTTTTATTTATTAATGTAAATTAAATTACAAAAAAAGATATACAATAAGCTCGATCTATGACCCAAATTCTGACCATTAGGGACTCGGATTATCATTATTTATATATAGATACGAAGTATACAAAAGCCAGCCTTTATTTCTTTGTTCTTGTTTTCTCTGTTGGTTATATATTTTCTTTTCGATAAATGTTTAACCCAAAAAATCCTATATAGTTTAAACAACTACTTTATATACACATTTAAGGTCAATGTACGGTAAACTGGCTGTTTCACAAATTTTGCATACAACTTTGGCAAGTTGAACTATAACTGTAACTGGAAATGCATTTATCTCTTTTATCTGTTTAATATTCTGAAATATTATGGAAGTTCATTCAAAATAGATGTACCTTTGTAAAGAAAGCTTATAAAATCGACGAAAAACGTTCTTAAATTTGTCTTAAAATCATCAAATCTCCAATTACCAATGCATAGATTTTTCTAAAAAAAAATGATATGCTGTTTTCAGAGACCACTTATAAAAGGGAGAGGAAAAAAAGTGGTCTCATAGGACAGGAGGTCTTTTAATACATTTTCAATCAATATGAAATGCACTACATACGGATCTAAAATTAATGATCTTATGATGGCAGGTTTGGCTGAACTTGAATTTCCGTTTTAACGATTTGCATCAGTCAAAGAGGTATTCCAGGTGAAAAAATACCACAGAACGTCGAAGTAACCGTAACGTCATCGTGTTGTACAATGTTAGCTGCAAAACGTCGATTTTTGACGTTTTTCACTACCAACTACCAAACTGTAACAGATTGGTTTATATATCAAAAACGAGGTCTCTGACCCTATCATTCTTTTCTAACTATTAAACAGAAATTTATTTATCAACAAACATCTTATGAAGTGGAAATTGCAGGTTTATGATTTTATGACAAATTAAAGAACGTTTTCGCCAATTATGTGTGCCTAATTTGAAATATAATATATTTATAAATCAACTGTTCGAATGAATGTACCTAGGACTAAATTAATGCTAGTGTAGTATTCCCAGCAAATTTAAATATCTCATCGACAGCTTGCTAAACAAAACAAACCGCAAGAACAAAAAATGGTGGAAGAAAAAAAAAACATATTAAACAGCTTGAACAAATACTTTTAGGTCTTTCCACGGAAAAGTGGAATAACCTAATGATAATTACAACAACATCAAAATGTCTTTCCACAGAAAGGTCTAAATACCTTATGATTATAGTCCGAGTCTGTTATGATCAGAGTTTGTCATAGGCTGAGATTGTTATAGGCTGTGATCATGATATAACGAGTAGCCAGCAACGCCTTTAAGTGTTAATATATATTCACATTATCTTCTCTAACCATTTTTTCGGACAAACTCAATTGTCTTTTCATAGAAAGTTTATTTTTATACCACACAATTTTTTTTTTAACATTTTTGTTCTTATGTCAACAGTTTCGTTCTTGCTATTAATACTGTGTAATTTTTGCCGGAGTTCCCACTCATATATATAGATACATATACCGACATTGATTTTTTAGAACATAATTATATTGAAGTTAAGCACTTTAGTTAAGCTTTTTATCAATATCACATATTTAGCACATATCTCAGTTTCTTATTTCTGCTGCAAGGCGCAAAAAAGCGTATAACTGTCATGTTTTGCTAGGTGGTAAAGAAAAGCATTATTGTATTTTACTTTGTATAAAGCATTAAAATGATGTACTTCAGAATGTTCTTCGAATCTATCGTTTTCAATCTTTATCAAACATAGCAATAAACTCATAAAATCACGAACCATTACATTCTGCTTAAAGATGGATGTGTTTTGTCATTTGCAATAAAGCTACTCTCTCGATTACCGAGTTCACCACTGTAAATTATAGAATGAAGTAATAGACTCTATATTTATTATATCTGAGTAACTTTTGTGCTTTCTTTCCATCAGAGTTTCTAGTGGGAGTATATGATTCCATTCTATTCGGTATGGTTAATGACAAGAAACTTGTTTGTTGTTGATGGTATACCTTAATAAACAGACGGGAACAGGGTTTATATAATTATATATTACATATGGTGTAGCATTCTTCTTTTTTCAATGGTTATTATGATCACGTAATTCAAAGGGTATTCCATGTACCTGCAGCCTTGTTTCTATTTTCAAGTGTATGGACGCTATGTTTCTATTTAAATATATATTGACGATCAATATTAAATATCTCGCAAAATACAATGTAAAATACACAGAAAGAACATTGACGTCCATTTCCGTAATACACTATTTAAGTATGTAATATATAAACTAAGGACTTTCACTCAGTCAATACGTTATATACGGACCTGGGGCCAGTATCATGAAGCAATCTTACTGCTTAAGATCATCTTAAGATCATCTTATCTACTAAGAGTGTATCTTGAAGTAATCTTAGAATGATTGACAGCCCTTAAAATTCATGTTGCACTCTTAACCCTAAGAGTACTCTTTATCCCTCTCGGAACACTCTCTTAGTTTTAATCTTAACGACTGGGTATCTCAAACGTCGATAACCAACTTAAGATCGTCTTTGATTACTCTTAGCACATTTTAAGTGTATCAGCAATCTTTTTTCACTGAAAACTTAACAGAAATTTCTAAGAGTGGTCAGGGGCACCCCTATCTCTCTCTTAGTTGATAAAATTGCGCTTGCAATGTTCTTGCATGTGCGTTCAAGAGAACAAAATAGGATATCCAGAAGGATCTTTAGAGATCGAACAAATCCATTGGAGTGGATGTAAACAATTATAGGCAAGCGTACGGCCTTCATTGAGAAAAACCCATACCGTTTAATTGGCTATACAAGGCCCAGACATGAACAATATGAAACTATTCAATTGAGAGAACTAACGGCCTAATTCATAACAAAACAATTTACGAAAAATCATATATGAGACATGTACCAACGACAACCATAGGAGCAAAAAACGACAACCACTCAATAACAGACTTTGGACCGAGCTTTGGACAGGCACATATAGGATAATATAGAATGTGACGGGGTTAAACATGTTTGTAGGCGCCAACCCTCCCCTAACATGTGACAGTGATGTAACAGTTCAACATAAGAACAAACAATAGAAACAAGTATTGAATATAAAAGTATGTTTTTCGAGCGTTCTATTAAACGCACAGATGACTTTTGCCGTGAATTCTAATATTCTCCTAAAAAATCAAAGACGGTCACTTCGGAAAAGTCGATAAGAGTACTATCTTAACTCGCAGTCGTAAGTGTATACTAAGATAGCCGGTAAATTGTTGAGAGTATCCCACGAGGGGATTGGAGATGCGCTCTTAGCACCATCGTAACTTTCTCGTAAAGCGTTCGTAAGTTTCCTCTTTAATGAAGCTTAAGATAGGATTTCATGATACTGGCCCCTGGGGCCGGTAACAAGAAGCTCTCTTAACACTTAAGATCACCTTTAAAGTTATTAATAAGACTGTCTTAGTGACTAAGAGTCTAACAAAAAGCAATCTTATATTAATCTTAGAATGATTGACAGCCCTTAAGACTTTCGAATTTCTTACGGATTTAAGGGAATTCTTTGCCTTCCCTTATCATAAACTTATCAATTCGGGTAACTCAAAAAGATCTTAATTTTCTTGTCTTTTAGTAAGAACTCTTTGCATCAACTTAAGCATTTACGAGCGTAACACGATTCTTACTTAACTCGTTTTAATGTAAGTGTGGTTCTACTCACCCCTAAACTACTCTTTGAATGAAAATGGCGCTTGTTTTAAATATGATGAATAATTAACAGGTGAAGAAAGCAAGATCGCTTTACTGGCATGAACATACGGATTTTGTGTTTTTAAAATTTACTGTTACAAACTTTTGGAAATTATTCTAAATTAAGGAATATATCTCCCTCACACAAAGCTCTGATTCCTTGCCCGACTTTGGCTATACTCTTTTGTCATTTTTGGTTTATAAGCTCTTCATATTTTTAATAAGCTTTGGATTTTCAAATATTTTGGCCTCAATGAATCATCACTGAAGAGACATTTATTGTCCAAATCCGCATCTGGTGCAGAAAAATTGGTACCTTTAATGTTATCACAAGACGTTTATTCCATGACCACTGAAATCCTCTTGATTTTGTGACAGATGCATGGACAAATTATCAAGAAACAACAAATTATCAAGAAACATCGACAGAGCGAGCATATATGACTTATGGTTATCTCATTTACCCCCCCCCCCCCCCCCCCCCCCGATTTCAAATTAGGGGATATTTGAATATCTGTAATCGTTTAATTTGAACTATTTGTTTGTTTTGAAGAAAAGAAAAATTTCATTTAGAAAAGAAAAGTTTTCCCCCGTTTTACCTCCATTATAAAACAAGCGCCATTTTCGTTCAAAGAGTAGCTTAGGGGTGGGAAGACAGACTTACATTAAAACGTGTTAAGTAAGAATCGTGTTACGCTCGTTTATGCTTAAAAAGATGCAAAGAATTCTTACTAAAGGACAAAAAATTAAGATGTTTTCGAATTAGCCGAATTGATAAGTTTATGATAAGGGGATGCGAAGAATTCCCTTAAATCCGTAAGAAATTGGAATGCTCGTTCTCCATAACCAAATGTCTCGACTGTCGATAGTGTTGCTATCCTTTTACTGCATGCAACCACTTAAAGTAACTAGAATCTTTTAAAAGCCTGTACCGTTTACTTTGATATAATGGCCACTGTCTAAACCATAATAAAACATTTAGATTCTCGGTAATTATTAAACCGGCCTTTTAGTTTTATAGGATTCTTAAGAAAAATTTCCATTTAATTTAGAATAATTCAGAATTAATTATTTTTTTCTGGCTATGCGTAAAGCGCCCGGTTTTCAGCCCAATTTTTGAATGAAAGAGGAATGCTTATAAAAGACCTCATCCTTTAACACTTGCAAGAATAAGTTTCTGAGATTTCTTATAAAACTGTATATGTATGTTAATTTAAGTTGTATGGCACATTGCTGACATATATGATACCCACATTTCTAGTCTCGTGTGATTTAGAATTTGTGTTATTTTACAGACGCTTGTCTAGTGTTTATTATCGTATATTGACCTCTAGATGTGTTTTGTGTCATTGATGTGCTGTCTCATTGACGTTCACCCAAATATTCTTTTCTTCAAAATCAATTATTTATTTATTCCGGACTACCAATGTAGTTTCACAAAAACATGAAATGTGATTTAAGAAAAAAAAAAAGTCTTTGTAGAGTGTCTTCCAGTCATCAACTCTATGAAGCCTTATATGCTTTGGTCTTATAGTATCCTCTGTGAAGAAATTTGAAAATTGACCATTCCGAATAAAGAATCGACTCTGGTGGCAATACATAGGGAAATGTTTTACATAATCAAAATAAAATGAGTTACTGTCATGAATGATCTTCGATATATTCTGACAAGTTTGGTTCGAATCGGTCGTGTATACTCATTAGTTTCACAACACAAGCTGAAATGAGATTTCGCAAAAAGTTAAATTAAAACTATGTTTCATCATGACCGTCCTGTATTCGACAGGAAAAGTACGAAAAGAGGATTATTTATAGAAAATTTTCAAATCATCATGACTATGAAGTTTGAAAATATTTAGTATTTCTTTGGGAAAAGTAAGGCTTCGGAAGAAACAAAATTTGAAAAATTAACAATGTTGATCAAGAACGACCTCAGACAACAATGTTTCTGTGCCTGCTATATGATTCAGTATGAAGCAATGATCTTTCCATAAGAAGATTTGGAAATGATAGTTAAGCCTATATAAATTAAGGTATATCTTAACATCAACAAAAAAAACAAGTTTTTTATTTTTATTTTATACATGTATTTTGATGTTATATTTGTTCTTGTGCAATGTTGTTATTTTATTATACATGTATTGTTAAATATTTGTGGATCACTTGTGGTGTTGCATAATGGGTGCTTCATGTTTTCCTATTTAAAAAAACATTGTCTGCTATTCTCATCAATCTGAAGTCTGCAAATGATTGTCGTATAAAACAGCTTCAATTTTGTTTATATGTATAATAAGTTATAAGCGAAAAATATTCGATCATTTATAGTTCTCATCTTTCATTTGGATGTTTGTTGTTCACTTGTTTGTTTGGTGTGATCTCTCTTTTTCAAATTTAAAAATTAAGCAAAAAACAGGGTTTTTTTTTTAAATGTTATGTTGACAAATAAAAAATCTTAAACATTTATATTGAATGCTGAAAATTAAACTATGAAAATAAGGAGATCATGTATTATTGCCATTGACACAACTATCCACAAAAAAATCAAAGGACAATTATGTGAACAACTACAGGTCACCGTACGGCCTTCAACAATGAACAAAAACAACACCGCATAGTTAGTAGGCCGTGTTAAACATAGTTGTAAGCTTTCAGCCCTCCCCTGACCTTGGGCAGTGGAATAGCAACACAACATATGTACAAATTTTTAAATTCAGTTGGAAAAAACACGACTCGTTATATTGGCAGTAAATACAAAAACGCCTAACAAAAAGACATAAAAACACAAAGTACCGATCTAAGAATACTCGCTGTTACTGAAAGCTAGTTCAATGCCCAAATTTTAACTAATAGATAAACCATGTTTTACCAGACTAAATAATCAATTATTACACCTCCAACGTGTTTGTTTTATGCCAAAATAATAGTCATAGAGTATAGAGTTTCCCGTGTAAAACTTAAATATCCAAATCAAGAAACTTACAATCATTGCTGTTCATGTTAGATTTTTTTTAAGTAAGTTCCCCTGGAGTAAATTTCCGCAGTTTAGAAAATTCTTGATTGTTAAAAGCAAGATATAACCAAGAAAAAGTTAAGTGTTATTAAATTTTCTATTAAACGGATCTTCGTAGAGTTTCACAATACACTGTGATCCATGACAACACATGTACAAGTCTGCTATTAAAGGGGCACAACTAGTGCTCATAGGAATACCTACAACCTATCGATAAAATATATTGCCGAAACATACATTAATATTGTCAAGGAGAATACTAATAGCTGTTATCATTTTATCACAGTTCAAGTAAATATATCTACCATATTTATCTTTTCTATTTTATAATAAAAGGCTGAATATGAGTTGCAGCGAATACATTTGCAATCAAAGGTCCATTTGAATAAATAAGAAAGCTTCTATTTGATAAGATTGTGTGGGAGTGTAGTTTAAATGATCGAAAAGACAAAACTGTCTACCGAAAAGGAACCATTAAAAGCACGTATTTCTTCACACTCAAAAAAAAAAATTCCATTGTATGCATATGCTTCATTAAAGTAATAAAAATAAGTTCCTTTGATATTAGCCAGGGAACTAGTTAAAAGGACGGAACGATTAGTTATAGAATACTATGTAGAAGCATAGATGAAACGATATTTGACCGGGGCATTTTTTGCGTATTTTATGTACCCAAGACATAGTAGAGACTACTGAATGTTTAGAAAAGGCCTTAAACTGAGATGTGGTTATGATATAAGTGTCTACTATTTGACTATCCGTGGAGCGCACGACCTTGAATGTAGAAAAATTTATAATTTCATTCTTAGAAACGCCCGTGAAATTATAAATTTTTCGGTACGAACACAAAACGTTGTCAAAGTACTTTAAGTATATTTCTTATCCTATAAATGAACGTATTGTTGTTAACCTTTAAATTCATTTCTAAATTATATCCATGCGTTTCTTCAAATAAGAAACTAGTGATTTTTATCAGACTTCCAAATTTTTATAAAAGGACGAAGGAACATCTTTAATTACGATCACCAAAAATAACGTTCGTTGTAAACATTTGTTGTTAGTTTTACCAAGGATTTGTATCGTCTTACTATACAAATCCTTGGTTTTACATATTACTTTTCTTCTCATACTAGTAGTTGAAAATAATTATAATTTTTATGACACCTTTTTTGTCCAATCGAATAACTCATATATCCAGGTAAAAACAAGAAAAAGGATACAAAAGCTGCACAGGTCGTAGAACTCCATTTAGGAACAACAGTGCTACCACTTAAAGATGCTCGTGCTGTATTAAGTCTGATAGAACAGTTGAAAACCGACCAGAAATATTCCGCCACACTGGGTTTTTTGTCAGATTTGTTCCGGAAGTTGAATACGTTGGAAGATGGACAATTCTCCAGAATAGAGATTGACATGACAGTTAGACAATACCAAGACTATACCGATGGATTTCAATACAGACTTACTGTAAAACCAGTGGGTAAGTCAGTATTAGGATCATACTAGCGGATTTAAGAATATATGCTACAAAACAGATATAAAGCGCGGCTATATATGACACAAAAAGAAAGTTGTTGATGTAAGTACTACACTGAAATACTCAAAACCAAGATAAAAAACTTTGAGTACGTTTATACTTGCAACTTCTACTGAAGAATAGTATGTAGATAAACACACTTCATCATCCCTTCTGAAATTCTTTATCTGCATCCAGTAAATTTTCAACTATAAATATTTCAGTTATTCTGACGTTAATATGATCTTTGTATCATCGTAACTTGTATGGTATAAAATGCTAGTATAAGGGAACGACCATTTAACTTCAAGGGGGGTTATGTTTTTTTCCTAAAAAAATATTCTGATCCCCAATTTGATGAAAAAAAATATTGTGGTCAAGCAGATGACAAAAAAAAAATTCTGAATCCAGATTTTCCTCATACCTTATAGTGTTAAGTTTTGAAAATTTTCTGACTCAGACAAAACCATAACCCCCCCCCCCCCCCCTTGAAGTTAAATGGTTGCTCCCTAACACAATGAGAACATTTGTTTTATGTATGAAATCATTGACAAGATTAATCAAACACGATTTATACGAAAGTTCAAATTACTCTAGTGTGATGATTAATTATTATAGATATATTTTCTGAAATATATTCTACTAATTTTTCGTTGAAAATAAAGGTGTTATTTTGTCTATAAAATATATATATATTGAAGTCGTGTATAAGAGGTATTAAAACAAATACAGTCGACTAGTATAAACAATGGAGTAACTAAATTAATACTTTATAGAATTTATCTGTCAAAACAGTGCATGTTAATGACGACGGCAATATGTGTCAAAATGAAGCTTTACAATGCTGGTTCTAATGGTTTTTGTCAAAACAGTGCTTGAAAATGATGGTTCAAATGATATATGCCAAAGCAGTGCCCCATAATAATGGCTCTTATGATATTTGTTAAAAAATGTCCGATAACGACGGTTAAATTGTACTTGTAAAAAATATATTTTGCCAAAACAGTGCAATACTGGTATAACATTGGTACTGATGGTATATGTAACATATAATGATGGTTTCAACGATATGTGTGAAAACATTAACAGATAATGATGGTTACAAATGATATTTGTCAAAATGTTGGTTTCCTTGGCATTTTTCAAATTTCTGCCTGATAAAGATGGTTCCAACGATATATGTCAAAACAGTGCAAATTAATGAGGTATCTAAAAAAAAATTGTCCAAACACTGCCAGAAAATGATATTTCCAATAGTGTTTGTCAAGCAGTGACATGTAACGATGGTTACAATGACATGTGTCAAAACACTGCCTGAAAATGAAGGTTCTTATATTTTTAGTATTTGTCAAAACAATGTCTGACATTAATGGTGCCTATGGCATCATGTATCAAAACACTGCCTGATAATAATGGTTCCTATGGTATTTGTCAAAACACTGCCTGATAATTTTAGTTCCAATGGTATACGTTAAAATACTGCCTGATAATGATGTTTCCTATGGTATTTGTCAAACACTGCCTGAAAATGATAGTTCCAATTGTATTTGTCAAAACTCTGCCTGATAATGATAGTTTTAAGGGCATTTGTCAAAAACTGACTGATAATGCTAGTACTATGATAATTGTCAAAACACTGCCCGGTAATGATGGTTCCATTAATATTTGTCAACACAGTGCCTGATAATGACAGTTTCAATGATATTTGTCAAAACACTGCCTGATATTATGCGTCCTAATGTATTATTCAAAACACTGCCTAATGATAACGGTTTTAATGGTTTTAGTTTAAAAAAATATCTGAAAATGATGGTTCCAATAGTGTTTGTAAAAAAGTGCTAAATTACGAAGGTTCCAATAGAAAAATAAATTTCATAAATTTAGTTTATTTTAGGTTACTGTTTATTGATAACGAATAGTGAATTTTATCAAGTTCCGGGATGCCCAATCAGTAAAAAAATGCCTAACAGACCAGGTGTGGAAGGCGATGCCAGTAAGTATGTACGCTTCTCATGGAGTACAATTAAACAAGTAAACTACTTATAGTAATTGCATACATTGAAATCGTTTGATGATCACTATCAAACATATTTCTTTTAACATTACGTGTTAAGCCGACGAGTATATCATTGTCCAAGATATCTTAAAAATGTATCGAAACATTTGAATGTACTTATAAATTAAAGTATAGAAAGAACTTAGAAAGGCTGTACTTGACTTTTGTTAAACCGATATTTTACTTGAATGTAAATTTTGGGAAAGTATGGGTGTCGGTTATTGTAACAAATTAGAGCAATTGCAGCTTGAGGTTGCCAGAATTGTAACAGGTCTTCTTATTTTTACTAGAGGTAGAATTATTTATAATGAAATTGGTTGGGAAACTCTAGCTGAACGAAGAGAAAGGAGGAAGTTACAATTATTTTATAAAATTCAACATAATTATGTATATAATGTATAATAATATATAATAATAATAATGTAATTCCACCAACAATCCAAAGTACAGCTGTTTACCCTTACGTAATGGGAATGATATAATATTACCTTTTCGTAGACTCTCATTGATCCATGAATCTTTCTTACTTTCATCTATACGACTGTAGAACTATCTAAATGATTTTATATGCAAAATTAAAAAAAAAATACTTCAAAAGCCCAAGAACCTAAAACATTGTTAAGTTGAAAATCGTAAACACAACATCATTTTGCTCATCTTCATTTTTTGGGATATGTTAATGGTCTCCGTCCGTCCGTCTGAAACACATCAATACTCTTATGTTAGTCTTGTATGTTTTTTTTTTTATTTTGGCTCATTTATATGTTTTGGAGTTTAGTGTAACGTCCATTTTCGCTGAACTAGTACGGCTGTTTTCTGCTCTTTGGTCGGGTTGTTGTCTCTTTGACACATTGCCAGTTTCCTTTCTCAATTTTATCTAAGACCGTTTTGAAAAAAACTTTCATACTATGTAGGATTATTTGTCGTCATATTCTCTTGACCCCGTTGTAGCGTCAGTTTGATTTTCCAATTTTTCCTTAATTTATGAGACTTTGATAATTTTTGGAGTATTGTGACAATAACACCTTGTGAAGGCAACACCTCTCAGTGAGACCATTTGACAGAAAGCTCTCATAATAGTACAAAATTATACCACCATTTTGATTTGCCGTTTTTCACGTCTGCAATGGGACTGTCACTTTTTTTTTAATATTGTAACAATGACACACTTTTAAAGGCAACTCCTCTCAGACCTTTCGTGCGTAAATGACCAATATATATCGTCATTTTGATCCGAACATTTTTATGGAAGATATGGAGACTTTGACTATTTTTTAGCATTGTTACAATTACACCTTGTGAACGCAACTCCTCTGATACCTTATGACAAAGAGCTCTCATACTTGGTGAGATTGTTTGCAATCTTGTTTGTTGCCTATATTATACCGTCATGACAATTGACCATTTCTACGGGAGTTAGGGACTTTGAACGCAAATTTTCTGAGACCGTTAAGCAGAAAGGTTCATAACTTGCAGGGTCATGTGTAGTTGACCTTATTATGCCGTTATTTTTATTTGACCATTTTACGGGAGTTATGGGAATTTGACTATATTTACTTTTTGTGAACGCAACATCTCAGACGCCATTTGACAGAAGCTCACTAGGTAGGTTTGTTTGCCATCATGTTTTGTTGACCATATTGATACCGTTAATTTGATTTGACGATTTCTATGGGTGTTATAAGACTTTTACCACATTTTGACTATTGTACCGTACTGACACATTGTGACATATTTCTAATTTATACTTTCGCTACGGCGTAGAAATCTTGTTGAATTATTATCTTTATAGAGTTAATATTATTTTAGATCCGTCTTGTCGTTATGGTGCGTGAAGATTCTTAATACATCTGTTTATAAATTCCAAATTATGCTTATTTAAGAAATATACTATCTAAAAATCTGAACTGGTTACCAGAGAACTGTCCACTAAATTTTAACATCTGAACCCCCGGCCATAATTATATCACTAACTAATGATCAAAACGAAATCATATAAAAATGATAACCCCTTCAGATAGGCAGTACACAAAACATTATTTGTATTTCAGAGCGACTAGAGGGACTTATGTCAACGATTGGTTATAAAGTAATTAGAAAGGATAATCTGAAGAAATGGGAGATTGAGCGTGAAATGAAAGCTATGGCAGAAGCTGATCAGAAGAAATTCGACTGTTTTGTTTGTATTATTTCAAGTCACGGGACAGCCAACAAAGTTTACGGCAGTGACGGATATGATCTCATGTTAGGTCCCCAGTTAAAAAGATTCAGTGTGGATACGTGTCCAGACCTTCAAGGAAAACCGAAAATATTTTTGTTTCAGGCGTGCAACATAGAAACGGAAGGTACTTCACTACGCTATTTACGTTTTTGTGTGATAATAATTGTTTACTGTGTGCAGCATATTGATAACCTCTACAGTAAAGATATTTGAGTATATTGTACTTTTTTTTAACAGCGGATGACCGTGAGGGCATTCCGTAGTCAGTATGTTGCCGCAGACATTTCTACCCACGTGACTTGCGTTTTTGACTGATTTATAACCGAACGTATTTCGTATAATTACGCGGATATTATCGAGTGCAAAGTAACATTCCTTATCGCTTGTTATATTATATTAATTTCATCAATAAATATTCATGAAAATAATTTTTAAGAACATAGATAAATGATATGAAAATGTTTTATCGTGAGAAATATATATATCAATAACAAATCAAGAATACCGAAAATTTTTGTTAACGCATGCGGAAGAATATCTCAAGAACGTTTTGTAACAAACGCGGGAAAATATGAATGCCTTCTCAAATCCAATCTATTAGAAAATCGAATTATTACAGATGAGTGTCCACAATGCACTTGCACTGCACTATCATTAGAATAGTAGAATAGAATGATATACAAATGGATGAAAATTATATATAACTGTTATACAAATATTAATATAATATATAACAACAAACCAGAGTATACTGATAACAAATGATAATATCACTACAATATAATAGTTATAACGGTGAGGTTCAATTCCTTGTCATTTATTCATCATCCACACAGGAACTTGTCTCCGAAAAAAATATATCTATGTTCCTTAACCTAACTTTCAGGTATAGAGATGTGATTTTTTTTTCTGAGACAAGTGCTTGTGACCATCCACCAGAACTTGCGGTCATCCGATGTTCAGTACTTCAGTACTTTGATTAATTGATAATTTGTTAGCCTACTAGGGGTCCTTCAACATATTTTCACGTATTGTGCGTCAATTCTTTCTTTATTTGTGTATTCCTATGAAGCAAATGAATACAAAACTGTGGAAAAGACTTAAATTTCAGCTTCCGCTATGTGGATGATAAATTGTCTCTTAAAATAACTAATAATGATAACAGATTACCTTCATTCTTTCAATCGTCCTGAATATGCATGAAATATTTGCCACTGGACGTTAAGCAACCAACAATCAATCAATCAATCATTCTTTCAATCCAAATGGCCTCTCAATTATACAACTAAGTCTGTTTGAATTTGATAGAAAATGAAGTTAAGAAGAAAAAGAAAAACGTATTACAAACAATATTTCCGTTTCCAAAAAAGTGACTTTTTCTGTTATGTGCAATAATATTCCTAACACTCTACGTGAAAGTGTTTACATTCAATCAATTCGCTAATGAAAAGCTAGCGTCAACTGCAAGGGTTTGACAGAACTACCTATGTCGGATAAAAATCATAGTTTTATAGTCGCCATCACAAGCTGAATAAACCATTACATAAGAGTCCTCCACATATTTTCTTTATTTATTCCTGGTTCTCATCTGAAATATGGCTCGTTACCGGCTTAGATCACTGGACCATACCTACGATTAGTGTCTAATACATAGAAGGCTATACGTACTTTATGTCACACCTGGTGACTATTGACGGTTCTCAATGAACTGACTCCCGTTTCCATATGCAAATTTTTATGTATTAATAGTGCGCTAGTTTTTGTCTTTTAAGTTTTTTTCCGACATTTTGATATCACGTTTAACATCCAGTCTTTAAATCTATTTGTTTACCACACCTCTAAGTGCATAGGGGTATTTCCCTTACTTACAATACAATATGACTAATCTGTTGATATTTCAGATAAGATGCAAAAAACATTGCAGCCCCTTATAAATGAGACGGACTTTCTGTATGGTTTTTCGACACTGCCGGGCCATCTAGCATACAACCCAAAAGACGGGGAAAAGACTGGATCATATTACCTCTACTCACTATATAAACATCTCAGTGATAAATACAAAGCGTAAGTTAATGATAACTAACCTAGTAACTAACACGTAATGTTCAACGAATTGGAACGTTTATAAAATGTTCAGAGTTCGTATAGCGGTGTGTGGAAAGGATTAGAAACAGTTAAGTCCATTATGAGTAATCTGACCAAAGTTAAACTTGAAAGATGTCTGTTCAAACGTTGCTTAAGTCCGATACGTTCAGAAAAAATATCATAAAGTTTACGAAATACTAAAAGAAATGCAACTTATAAAATATAAATTATAAAATCAGGAGTTATCAAATTATCCTGTAATTTTAAGATTGATTTTTTATAATGGAAAGGCGTGATCCTTACCCAAATGCCAACCGAAAGTAATGTTTCCCAGACAAAAAAAATGGAAATACTTGGCTTCTGATCTTCTATGATGTCAAACCCTCTTGCTGTCTAGAGATTTCTTATTGTCAGGTCGCGCAAACTGTTCTGTAATGTTTTGCGTTTAAGACATTTCAAATTGTATGTACTACTGGAAAATGTAAACTTATCACCATCAAAGGAAGCTTTGTGTTTAGAGTACCGTGATACTCTAAACACAAAGGGTTAAGGAAAAAGGTAGGAAAACACGAAGGCGACGGAGATATGTAGTCAAAAGAAGTTAGGAAAGGTGAGCGATGGAAGTTATTAATATTGTATAACTATCACAAAACTGATTACGATCGCTGGTGGATAACTCGGCCTTACGTGGTCATTAATACACATATTTCAGAAAATATCAACAAAAAATATCTATGAAATAAAGTTTAACTTAGATGCACAAGATATTCTAAACATGTGTTTATGTTATATAAAGGGGAATCGTAATATTTTGAATGAGGAATAATGACTGCTCAGTATTGGATATTTTTGTGAATTTCTCGTATTTACTTTTATATTGTTGGTATGGCCTTTTTTTTTTGGTAAACTGCCTGGTGTTTTAATGACTGGCGAATGTAAAGAAGTTTTTATGGTGTTAAGTCTCTATTGCTTATCATTGGTATACAAGCAGAGAGAACTTTGTTTGACAATGAATGGCTGATAAATAAGAAATTTAAAAATTTGAGGTTTGTGTGTATATGTTTGTGTGAATAAAACCAGATGTTGTGTAAAATTGTTATATGTATATCCTTGTTGTTGAATTATATCATATATTGTAGGTGCGATTTGGTTGCAATTCTTGAGGACATGAATAGAGAATTGGCAGAAAAGAAGTCAGAACTTAGACCTAATGATTTAGGATCCGTAACAATGTTTGTTGATTGTCTCAGAGGTCATTTATTTTTTCAGTGAACTGGAATTTTGAAAACGTAAATAAAAACAATCAAAATTAATTTTTTAACACATGTTGATCTTAATCTCTAAAATAAATGTCCAAGTTTGAACCTAGCTTGGAATAACTCCGATAACTTCTGGAATTTAGACTTCCAATAAACTTTAGACTAAATGCATGCGTTCACTATTGTTTCTCTGGCCAGCTGTTTTATGAACATTCCTTGCTTCAAATGTAAATATGATATATTGTGACAAGTGCATTGAGATCACAAAACGCCATTCATCAAGCTCCAGGTATAAAAAAAAGTACAAACAATGCAACTAAACAAGAATTAACGTCAATTCAGGCCAAGGTATATTAAACTTGTTCGCAATTCCATCAGCAGAAAGCGAATTTCATAACGAACACTAAGGAAGAAACATCAATGAATAAAAATTATTATAATGATATTATGAAAAAAGCTATATACCAGTTTATTTGTCAAAAACTCAAATTATTGCCCAGTTATAATAAAAACGACTAAAAGCCTTACTTACCTATTTTCAGACTCAACGCAATCATCATCATACACTCTATTCATTTGCAATTGTCTTCCGAATTAAGTGTACTCATCTAGAAACTGGGGCATTAAGATATTTATGGTAGTGGGATTGCCTGATTGTTGTTTGCTTTACGCCCAGCTACAAATATTGCATGCATGTTCAGAACGACAGCGACAATAATTACAAAAGGTAGATCCTGCATATAAGGAGTCGTTTAGGATGAAGGGATGACAATTTAGGTTCCACTGGAAAATAAGGCTATATCGGATACTAGTATTGTTACAAATTAATAACAAATGACTGAACATCAGGTAATTGGAAGATTTCTGTTTAAAAACTTCCGTGTATATTGTCATTTACGAACAAACGGACACATGACAAAAGGACAGAATGATTAATACAGTGCATACATGTACAAACATATTTACAAAGAGGAGCTATTTTAGTATCCTGGGGCCTAGTATTTCTTACTATTACGGGTTTGTTCATTGATGAGAATCGTGCGATAACCTGTATTGTTTAGCTCTTGTTCCTTTTTGGTATTTGGTGGATAGTTGTCTCATTGCAATCATACAACATCTCCTTTTTTTATATGAAACAAGCAGTGAGCTTTAACAATATGTTCAATCTGGTAAACATCTTTGAAAAATAGTAACTACTAGAACACACCTGCGACATCGCGGGTAAGTGACTGAATTGTAGCCCCTTTTTAGCCTGATTTTTTAGTATTCGTATTTGCCATCTGATAAAGTCATGTTGATTGTAAGGTGCACAGTTTTCTCTGTTTTCAAAATCTTTCTGTTTATACCCATCCTGGTTTTCTTACTACAACCGCGAATGCTTGGTTCATGCCATTGAGAGCGGACGTGGACATATTTGCAGAGAGAATTCTTCAACATCTTTGAAATAGCTTTGTCAGATTTGTTTCAGGAATCTAAGTATGTCCTTACCGGTTTTCTGTTCGTTGCCATGGCATTTGTGCGGCACCCGGGGGACCTTGTCCCTCATTTTGTATATAATTGGTTTTATTGCATTGAACATATTGTTTTGAGGAAGGTTAACATTCTGGTAGTAAGACCCGTCACATCAAGGCTGTGAAACTGGGTAGGCAAAAGCTCATACTAAATCTGAACCTATACAGTGTATTAAATGTCCTCCTTTACACCATGACCCATGGTAGTGCTCTTATTACAGGAGGAAGATACAGAACATACATACATGAGACATATACTATTGGTATCGGTATCGGATTCGACCCGGAACTTGTTAATTATTGGCATTATTAATTATGTGGAAAACAAAAGGACCTGGAATCAACACCATTGTCCTATATTAGTTATATATAAAGTTGAATTCTTTGATTAGTCGTGTTTACGTCATGACGGCTAACAAATTGGACCTCGCTATTTTAGTATTATAGATGTATGTATGTTTGTATCCAGTAACATTTTTCTCTCTTATTCATGTCATTATTCACACAACAAACTATTACTTTCAAACACGATCGTGTGTATGTAACAGTAAATCCGGTCCGGCAGTAAAATTTGTCCCCTGGACCATTTTTACTAGGTAATCAAGTCCATGACCATAATTTTCCTAGGAATGTAAGTCCCAGGATAAATTTTCCTAGGAATGTAAGTCCCAGGATAAATTTTCCTAGGAAAATAAGTCAATAACTAGTAAAATATGTCTGGCACTTATTTTCAGGATAATCAAGGAAATGGTCGTTTTTGCCTAGGAATAATAATAACATGGACATAAATTCCTAGGAAAATTAGTCTGGGTACGTAAGTTTTATTAAAAGATTAATGCACAACTGTTTAACCAATTATTAAAACATAACAATGAAAAATTCCATTGTTTGCATGATTTCTTTCCTTACAAATTTGCCTAGTAAAATAAAGGACGTAATAGGAATATTAATGACATGGAAATTCCTAGGAAAGTTTGTCTGGGACATAAATTTTATTAAAAGATTAGTGCACAACTGTTATACAATATTAAAACATAGCAATTGAAAATCGCATTGTTTACATGCAAATGATCTCTTTCAAGTGAAATAAGGGACATGGACGTGTTAACCTGATGAGAAGGACCTGAATTCCTACGAAAATTAGTCAGGTTACATAAATTACTGACCTAGGACTAAAAATACTAGTAAATTCTGTAACCATGGACTTTTTATACTAGTAATATGTGTCCACCAGGACACATGTTACCAGTTCTAATTTATCTCTTACATTTAGATAGTGAAAACTAAATTCACCATTAATCCTACTGACACAAAAAAATCAAACGGAACTAACCGTCGTTACAGTAGCCAAAATGATGACTTCTGGATCCCACAACTGGGAACTGTATCTTATGGCTGTCATCACAAAATTAAGGGTTCGGCTATTTTATCAAGCCCCCTTTGAAGCTCGGTTAATACGATTGATATTTTCAATAATGCTCTTCGTCGAAGATGCCGTCGTGTCCATCATCATGACGCATCACGTTCAAATTGGGGTGTTTTAATGAATCACCTGATGAAATTTATACAAAAGTTTGAAAAACAGACAAAACCATGCAATACAGATAACGAAAACTTAATATTTGCTCATGGTTATTCTGTCATCGGTGGTCTCGTGGGTTCAAACCGCCGCCTGGTCTATGAAGGGCCATTCTGGTCACAATGCAACTTTTTAAACGTTCGCCGGAGAAACGCGTTTCATTTTGTTCGCGTACCCTAGAGCAACGCGTAACAGTTAGTTAACAAATCAAACGTGCAATAGGTGCAACGTGTTGCTCTAAGTAACGCGAAGGAACTGTTCTGCGTTACTCTAGGCTACGCGAACTAACTCGTGCGTGTTGGTGTAGGGTACACGAACCAACAGCAACGCATTGCTCTAGGGTACGCGAACCACCAACAACGCGTTGCTCTAGGGTACGCGAAAAACCAACAACGCGTTGCTCTAAGTAACGCGAAGGAACTGTTCTACGTTACTATAGGCTACGCGAACTAACTGGTATACGTGTTGATGTAGGGTACGTGAACCACCAACAAAGCGCTGCTCTAAGTAACGCGAAGGACCTGTTCTGTGTTACTCTAGGCTACGCGAACTAACTGGTACGTGTTGTGGTAGGGTACACGAACCAACAACAACGCATTGCTCTAGGGTACGCGAACCACCAACAACGCATTGCTCTAGGACACGCGAACCAACTGCAACACGTTTCTTTAGAGAACGTGTCAACAACTGCATTATGATCCGAATGGCTCTTCATACGGGCCAAAACAAAGACATAAAGTTGGTATATTTGCTGCTTCTAAGCTAAGCGCACGGCATTTAGGAGGAAGATCAAAGACTGTTCGGCTCGGATTCAGAATAATGTGGCCGGGACCGCTGACATGTCTTTCTGTGGACTGTGGCCGTGTGCTTTAGCATGTTCATATCCGGCTCAGCGTGTCGGTCTTTTACAAATCATATTATCATGCTCTCGTTCTGAATATGCTATTTTGACGTATTGTTTAGTTCTCAAGCGACTTTACTGTTGAATTCAAGATGTACGTTAAAGTGTCAAGCCGACCTTGTTTTATCTAGCTGTGACCCCTTTCAAAACACCATATAAAACCAATACAAGAGTATTAGAAGATTATTTCATTACCATTTCTTGTTTTTTTTTATAGACATAGTTACCAATAAGTTGGGTAAACTGCTGTAACTGCTATTTGTATCATACTTTTTTTAAAAGTAACATAACACTGATCAATGTATTCTCTTTTTCTTAAGTGAACTCAATATACAACTGTAATTTGTTGTGTAGTTTTATGATTAAATATGTCAGTGTGGAGACAGTTAAAAGAGTCCAGTAAAATTCCATTTTCGACAGTTAAATCCCTTCTTGACTATGGCAATTCTTTAATTACAGTCGTGTAATTCGTTAAACAAATATAATCTTTCATCATTTAAAACTTCCCAAACGCCTACATTTTGATTTGTTCATTGAGGCTGTTTTATGTGGTATCTCTGTGTGTGGTTTATGTGAACAAAAAAATTTAAGTTGTCTTTGAATACACATTTCAACACTTATTTTAATGATTTGAGGATGCTTGAAAGGATAAATGATCTTTTCAAAATACATTTAATTTTTGGAATAACGTTCCAGTCCGCCTTTACTTTGACCTTTGTCGTTAGTATTCACATAGTGTCGTTGAAAGGTTATTGCGCAGAATCATGATAATTTCTTCGGTGTTTGCAATTTGTAGTTTTAGAAAGTATCGAGTTAAAACGAAAATAAGTTTTCATGATTCAGATTTAAGGACAAATATACTAGGATAAACCGTACGATTATTAAATCATTTAAATATAATCCAAATCTCATATGGAATTTATAAATAACATCAATTTCCTATAATGACATGTGTAATATTTTTTTCTGGCAATAATAACAAATGTCTCCTTTCTACTTTCGTAGTTTTAAAGGACATTTACTACAAGAAACAATGGAAAGTATTAATACATTTTATATTCTC